AAATTTCTCCCTGGCTTGGTAGCCCCCAGATGTAAGTGTGTTGCACTGAACTAGGTCAACAACCAACTGTGTTATTTACTGCTTTATTATTACTGCATAATAGTAGGTTTGCAGTGAATGTCACAGTGGATGTTATAACTTCTGTTAGAACATCCATCGTGGGCTGGCCAGAATTTTCAAAAATCACCCGAATCAACCTTGTCGTTCCAAAACATGTTGCTCGACTTAAACCCGATGTAACTTTAATTCCATACAAACCTTTTTCAAATTAAATCGTGCCTGATGGTAGAAACGCTAAACAACCTTGAACTAATAAAGCAGAGAGGTCCGATTAACAACAAAATAGAATTAACCTCCGCACTGAAAAACAATTGACTTGTATCTCCAATGGTTGAATCCAATGCCCTGAACCATCACAAATATAATAAATCCAGACACTGGCCGAAATTTCCACTGTATTCCCTTAGAGTTTAACTGGCAGATAGCAGAAGAACAGAAAATAGGCGCCTATTAAAATAAATTCCGTAGAGGGAATCCTCGCACCGATTTGAACCAAACAACATAATCAGCTCCATATGGTTAAACAATGGCCCTGAAATCCCCTGACGACAAAATCTCGGCCTTTGAATAAATTATCCTGTCTCAAAAATTCCAACGTCAAAATTACTGTAAAATTCAATTCATCCTCAACCAAATACGGAACTCGGAAACGAAAACCTTAATCGCTCGATGGATTCCTGACAATGGCTCTGCTTCTTAAATTGTCAGCAAACAGTGAATAAATGACCATTTCGCCCCTCAACAGTTATAGTGCACCTGATGTGATTCTCTTGCAAAAACGACAAACTGGGCAACCCGTTAGTGGTTAGTTAATATGTAATGCAAAATGACATGAAATGCGACATGAATCGACTAATCTTAGAGCAAAATTTAGGGTGTTACACTACTTGACTGAGTATTTGAAACACTTCCTTGAGGATCAACATGTTGATTAACACTTGTTGCCATTCTCTTAATATATCTTCTCTTTGGTACTTCTTCGTGTGTCGTGGCTAACTTTCCACTCCTTAATAACATACAATGTAGTATGGCGCCAAAAGATGAATTTGGTTAATGTAAACGTTAGAATGCTTAGCACCGGGTCCCACCAGGTGTGCCAATTTGTTTACTGTGAATTTTGGTAAACAACAGTTGGTCTATCAATTTAGGGTAAAATTGAATAACTTGCAGGATCGACCATACTAAATCCTAGAACATGTGTTAAGCGTGCAAAAGACCCTAATCTGAACTCCACGTTCGACTGTGAAATCTTTGTAAAGTACAAGTGACTTGAAGATAAAATACAATATGTAAAAGTGCAATAATGTAAATGCTTTGGAAGTAAATGTCAAAAGTAAATGCAGTAGTGTAAATGACTTTGAAAGTAAATAACTTTGAAGGTAAAGCGCTTTGAAAGTAAAGGACTTTGAAGGTAATTACTTTGAAGGTAAAGGGCTTTGAAAGTAAGGACTTTCAAGGTAAATAACTTTGAAAGTAAAGGGGTAAAAGACTCTAATCTGAACTCCACGTTCAACTGTGAGATCTTTGAAAGTAAATGTGCAAAATGTTAAATTGCATGAAACGTAACTGAAAATAAAGTTGCAAAAAGGCTTGAAAAGGCAGTTTAAACATAAATGATGAAGGTTAAAACGCAGAATAAGTAACAGCGCATAAATGATAAAGACAAGTAAATTGCATTAATGAAAAGGAGTTGGTGTTGTATCACGTACATTCTCACTAACTCGTTTCTCTACACGCGGGTACTTTGAGTGATTTGGAGTGACTAGTACAAGATGAACGAACACCCTTATTACATAAAAATAACAACTATTTATAATTCTAGGAAGTAACTACTACATGACGGTTATGGCTTCACAACGTGTCCTTTTGACGCTTTTTTACAACTTCAACTGCTCTCACGTTCGCCCACTATCAATTTAAAACTTAGACACTAAGACTTCCCTCCAACCTTCATGGTAGCTGCCCTGCGTTCCTTCTAGCACGATCTTGGTTGAAAGCTTCTCCAACACTTAGCATTTTTCTAGAAATTTTGTCAACCTTTCTTCGCCTCAGGTTTCCTCAAAGTTGTGTCGAAACCTTCATATGTTTTTTGAATAACATTCTGACTTAGGATAATTCTGATTTTGCTGGCGTCGAAAATGGGAGCTAACAGTATCACATGCGTAATAACCCTTAGGTGTGTCCCTCATACGTGTATGGCCTTCCCTCATACGTGTATGGCCTTCCCTCATACGTGTATGGCTAAATAACATGCCAAAATCTCAGAATTTGCCTTTACACGAGTTCTCACACATTGAAACTCATTCCAACATCAAAACCAGATCCAAAATCATATTTTCTTTGGTCTAATTCCAAAATTCTAACTCTACTTCATGGTTTCATCCTTCTTATTAACCTTTTATGTGTTAACACTCCGTTTTTCGTTAATCCCATAAACCCAAAATTTCCAGATCTATTCTATCTCAGAATTCAACAACACATAATCAATTTGCATGAATTTACCATTCGAATTCAACATACATACAGATTCAAACACATATTCATTACACGATTACAGTTTAACAACAACAATCACACAACAATTATCCCAATTACAAAATTCAAGCAAGAAGAAGAAAAATACACAGAACCTACAAGGAAAAAGACCCCCACTACCCTCTCATGTTCATATCACCTATATTGAATCTCATTCTCCCCAATTACCTAAATTTCCAAGCTTTGATCCTTCAACAATGGTGAAAAATCCCCTTGTTCCCTTGTCCTAACTCTCTTTCTCTTCTTTCTCTTCTCTTTTCACGTAAATGATCTTTTGTGAAAAACCCCCACTAATCACTCTTAATTGTTTTATTTATTTTATTAATCCCTAATAATTACATTAATAATAACAATAATAGCAATAATATGAATAATAATAATAATGGTACTAATAATAATAACCATAATTTATTAATATTTCCCACCTATTATTAATTAATTATCATTATCTTAAAGTTTTATTGATTTTATTCCGTTAAGGCTATTCCTTACCCTCACCCTTAACCACGCACCCTTAATTAAGACAATGTCAAACAAGCACACAAAATCTATATATCTATATCTATATTCTCTCTCTCTCTCTCTCTCTCTCTCTCTCTCTCTCTCTCTCTCTCTCTCTCTCTCTCTCTCTCTCTCTCTCTCTCTCTCTCTATATATATATATATATATATATATATATATATATATATATATATATATATATATATATATATATATATATATATATATATATATATATATATATATATATATATATATATATATATATATATATATATATATAAAGGGAATACTTTGTTTTATTGTGCCTTATTTTTCTATCATTTTTACCCATACATTATTCGGTAATTTACTTAATAACTTTTTATTATTAACTTCCACGTAACTTCTTATTATTAACTTTCACATATTGTATTTTTTAAAAAATTTTATTTAAACAAAAAATATTGTTTATATTCTCATTCATGCGCATTAAAAAGCGGACAGACGGACACGTGAGTGTCCGTCTGAACGCTAGTAAATCATAAAACGACTAAATAATTAAATGAGGTGTTACACCACACACCTTAAAAGTACACTCACATTTTCTTGAACCAGTGTCGTCTTTTTTAAAATTCTGAAGAGGAATTCTATATTTCCTGTTTCTTTTGCATGTCATTGTCACAAAAATGCATCTTCTATCTGAACCATTATCAAACCTTCCAATAACCACACCAAGTTCAAGTTTAGAGGCCTCCATATGAATCTATTGAAACATTTGATCACGAGATTCAAACTCTTGCTCATTTTTAAATTGGTTGCCAACATCAATGTCTTCATAACAACACCTTGGACATTCAGAGAAACAACTTGTTTTGGAAAAACACCGGGCTGTATCGTATCTAATGAAAACAATTACAACATAACAATATATAAGCGCCACTGCTGAAAACATAGTTGAAAAATGTACACAGACTAGTTCCGAAAATGCAACTCCAGAAAAATTCATACTCGTCTCGGAGATGCATTTTTGGACACAACGCTCGTTTTTTCAGACAAAATACATGATTAATGTGAGCAATACAATGTAAAATAAATCATCTTTACATGAAATTCTAACTTCTTTTACTCCATTTGATGTGATGAACCACAAGATTAGAGATTTGGAGTGAAAAAGTGGATTGAGAATGAATGAGTTTTTGATGAAGGTTTGTAGAGAAAAACAATAATGACAACAATGGTTGTATGATCATGCAATTGTGTTTTTCATCAAATTATTTTAGAGATGCATCTCTTAAAATATTTGACATATAAAAATGACAAAATATTTTAAAATTCCACCTAAACTTTAAGAGACATAGTTTCAAAATTTCTACTAAAAAATATATATTTTAAATATTTCAAAGATAATTTTTAAAATTAAAAAACACAATTTATAGAACTGACCGCCTATGCGCATTAAAAAAATTCCCTTAATTGATTTGTAAATAATAAATTAATATTGTGATCACACACAAAAAGTACAATACGACCCCAAAACTTTTCTATATGATATGATGTCCTCCAAATTCCACTACCCTTTCTCAAATAACCAACGTGCCAGAGAAAGCGTGTGAAAGTGGATAAATTCCGTATACTTCGCACATAGTGTATCCCCTCTCAAATCACCCCCATGATTGGCTAGAAACATAGATCAGTCAAAGTAGAAAAAGAAAACTCATCGAAATTTAACACGTAATCAATCTCATCACCGAGCTCACATGAACCCGCCCTTATCGTATCCCCTCTCCTCTTATTAAAATCACGTTAGAAAATTCCTTACTCCCATTTACTCCCACTCCTCACTCTTTCCCTAGTCACTTTCTTTCCCCACCAGGAGAAAAAGTTCCCGGAGACTGTAACGGTGACGGTTACGGTTTCTCACAATGGCGTCGCTACCTTCGTCTCCTCCTCCTTCACCTGCTCCTTCTATTTCTCCTTCTTTATCAGAGTCCACTTTCTCTCATCTCCCTGTCATGTCTATGAAGAAGAAAATTGTCGATAAAGTTCAACAAAATCGCGTCACTCTCATCATCGGCGAGACCGGTTGCGGTAAAACTTCCTCAACTGCTATTTCTTTTTATGTTTGATGTTTGAGCAGAGTTTTTTATGACTGTATTGAACTATTTTACTGTACGTTCCCGAAAAATACTGCTGCAAATTTATAGTTTCGCTATACAATCTCTAGTCCTTTTGTATGTTCTCACATGTGAACGTTGATTCTTCACTCAAATATTTTCCATAATTAATTAGTTTGTGGTTTTGTATTACTCATGGAAAGTACTGCTTTGCATTTGTTGTTGCTTTTGTTAGTGTGTGTATATATATTTCATGTTTGTATGACAAGTTAAAGAGGTAACGGATATACACGGATGGTGTAAAATTGTTTTACACTGTCGCACAATGAAAAACCAGCAAATTGCCAAATCATTAAAGTACTTGTAACATTTAAGTATGATTTGGTGGAATACTTCGTTAATTGGTTGACATTGTAAAATAACTTTACACTGACAGTATATATTTTTTTTTCTTGAAGTATTGCAATTTCATGTCCAGTTATTCTTTATTTTGTTTTATTACAAATTCAGGTATGGGACCATATAGCTATTTTTAAATATTGCATTGAAAAATGCTATTCATTGGATTTTCACCATGTATATTTTGATTTTATCTATATATATTCCTTATGTAGAACTTTAGACCGGTGGACTTAACATACACTTATTTAGTAGCTTCCAAATACTATGGATAAAAGAATTTTTTTGCATTTATGATACCACAAACGCGGTCACGAGTAATAAACATTATTGGATATGATTAGGTTTAACAAAAAGATCAATGATCGCGATTTGAGTCACGACATCGAGTTTTTTGACGTCATTGTGCAATTACGTCTGAGGTTACATCAGCCATATTCAATCGTGATTCTGTGGAATATTAAAGACTGTGGTGTGATTACAGCAGTGTTGTGGATGGTGGATGGCGGTCTATGGCAGAGAGCCAAATTCCCGCCGGCGTTATTATCGTGGAAAATCCTGCAATATCGGCTGCTATTTACCATTACAGCAAACCAAAAAACCGCTATGTATATCTGCCATAGCAGCCATGGCGCCGCTATTTGATAACAATGGAAAGGAAGATATTTCCTAAAACCTTTGGAATCTAGGCATATACATTAAATAAAATAAATAGAAATAGAGAAATATAAAAAGCCAGGATGGTTTTAGAATATGCTTGTATGCTATCATTCCTTCACTTAGTAAAATGGGTGTGTGCAACTGAAAGGGTTGTTACTTGTTCCTATCGTGCACTTCCGTTCATTTAAATATAGTTATTCATCATATTTCGATGTTGCTGATAATTTTCTAACCTTTTTGCTTGAAGGGAAAAGTTCACAAATTCCTCAGTTTCTTCTAGAAGAAAACATGACACCCATTTTGTGCACACTGCCTAGAAGATTTGCTGTCGTTTCTGTTGCCAAAATGGTTGCGAAAGCTCGTAATTGTCAATTGGGAGAAGAAGTTGGGTATCATATTGGACATTCACGACACTTCTCAGCTAGGTATTTTAAACACATTCACTTAAACTTGTTCTTTTTTATTTTCTTTACGAATATGTGATAGTAATTCACTGATTTTCTTCATCTTATCCTTGGCCCTGTTTCCTCTTTGCTTTTGTAGATATGAAGTATTGACATATTTTATAAAGAGAGTTAAATTTTGACTTGAATCTGTTGGAGAGGCCTTGTCTTGACTTATTTTATTAAGAGTAAAATTTAATTGAATTGGATAATTTTTATTTTATTTAAAAATGACATTATTATATGTTTGACCAGAATGCAAAGATATTATTATCCATATATCATTACTTACATGCATGCTTCACCTTATGACAATAGTACTCTAGTTATTATTACTTGCATAATGTGGCACTCATTTTTATTTTACTTAACATTCCATTTTAAGGAAGAAATCTGGCACTCATTTTTCTTGAATGTATATTTCTTTCAAGTAAAAGAAATATTAATATGATAAAGATGTTATTAACCATTTATTATACTGACATACAATAGTACAAGTTTCGGTGTTACAGAACATTATCTATCGACACCTTTTATAGCATATTTCAGTTTGACTACATTGTCCTTTATCACAGGGAAGCCATTCTATGGAAGATATATGACACCTATCTTTTTTTACTTGTTCAGTTCTTATCATAATCATCTCTTTTCTTTTCTTACCTGGTATTTATATTGCTCTACTGCAGTTCAGAGATTGTTTTTAAAACTGCTGGAGTGTTGTTGGATGAAATGCAAGAGAAGGGTTTGACTGCACTGAACTACAAGGTTATTATTCTTGATGAAGTACATGAAAGATCAGTGGAGTCTGATCTTGTACTAGTTTGTGTAAAGCAGTTTTTGTTAAAGAACAATGACTTAAGGTTAGCATCTTGGTTTTGTTAGTGTTGAAAGGATATTTGGAAGAGTGAATTAAAGAGAGTTCTATGTGCATATTTGTAAGAAAGTAATTTATATATTTAAAGATCAGAAGTGACATGCAATTGTTTGTTTAATTACAGCGATACCATGATAATATATTATGCGTTTGCAGGGTGGTTTTGATGTCTGCTACTGCTGATATTTCAAGATATAGAGACTACTTTAGGGATCTTGGTAGAGGCGAACGAGTTGAAGTGCTTGCAATTCCTAGCTCAAATCAGCACATGGTTTTTCAGCGAAGTGTTTCATATGTTGACCAGGCATGTATATGTACTCTGATAATTTTCTTCTTTTTAATTGAATAATGGCCCAATCCCAGTTGTCTACATCTTGTCTATGGTATACATATTGAATGGTCTTAAATTATACTTCACCTTCAGAATTGTTTTGGGTTCCGAAATGTGTGAACATTTGAAACACTCCTGATGTTTATGCTCACTTAACAGTGATTATGGTTCTAATCTTCTTTTCGCAGGTAGCTGAATCTCTTGGGATAAGTTCTGAAATAATGCATTCAAAATATTCTTCTTGTCTTGATCTTTCCAAATCCAATGCTTACATTAAGTCTGAAGTGCACAAGCTTATTCATGAGCTGGTGTTGCATATACATAAGACTGAGCCAGATATTGAGAAAAGCATTTTGGTATTCCTTCCAACCTACTATTCACTGGAGCAGCAATGGCGTCTTCTGAAGCCACTTGAATCAACTTTTAGAGTTCATATCTTACATGGTAGCATTGATACTGAACAAGCTCTCATGAGTATGAAGATTTGGAAATCACATCGAAAGGTTTGTATCAGTGCAGTGTCACTAACTTTTCATGTATTGCAAAGATTATACAAAATTAATTAATGAATTTTAACTGGAAATTTTTTTCTCTTATTGGCCAATTATAGTTTTGCAAACTGATCAACTATAACATTTACTGTAATGAATCCAAATGTACAATAGTGTTATGTAATTTAATTTATGTAAAAGATATATTTTCTTTCATATTTGTTCTTTAAAAATGAAAAACTATAAGAGAAACTATTAAGAAAGATTTCGAAATTAATTAGTTGGATAGAATCATGTTTTTTGATACACTATGGCGTAATTTGATTCATGTAGCCGACTGCACTCAGTGGGATAAAAATTGGTTGTTTGTATTTGAACTTTAATGATTTTTTTAGTTACCTCTGTTTGGAATTTTTTTCAGAAGATTTTTTCCATTATTTTTTACTGCGATATGATTTCTTCTACTAACATTCACTATATATTATGACTGTGGTTGCTGTCTGTCAGGTAATTTTGGCTACCAATATTGCTGAATCTTCTGTGACAATACCTAAAGTGGCTTATGTCATTGATTCATGCCGATCCTTACAAGTCTATTGGGATAAATCCCGGAAAAAGGACTGTGCAACACTTGTTTGGGTTTCCAAGTCTCAGGTACAAATGATCTTATTTCCATATTTTGTTTTGTTTTTCCGCTTTCCTTAAATTCATTTGATAATTTTGTAGGCAAATCAACGTAGTGGAAGAACTGGTCGAACTTGTGATGGCCAAGTTTATAGATTGGTTCCTAGATCGTTTTACAATGATCTTGAGGATCATGAGAGTCCAGTTATTCTTAAATTATCATTAAAGCTGCAAATTCTTTCTTTATGTTGTGCTGGATCCAAGGCCATCAATGATCCCAAAGGTAAGTTAGTTCATCTTGATTTCTTCGCCGAATATATTAGTTCATCTTGATTTTCCAGGAAATTGCTGTTTACCTATTAATATTGTGAATATTTGTGTACCTACTAAATGTAACTGCAATGTCTCTTAATAATTGTGGACATCGATTAACTTGGGAAGAGGCAATAAATTTGACTTGAAATTTATGTCCATGTTTAAAATTTTTTGTTTTTGTAATTTAAGAACCCAACTACCAAATGCCGTCTCCATGATTGAATAAGGTACAGAAATTGGTTGAATTGTGTGATCAATCAGTCTATAGACTCTACAACTCTACACAAGAGTGTTTATAACCTCTTCAACATTTATAGGTACTGAAATTGGTGGAATCGTGTGATCAGTCAGTCTAGACTCTACAACTCCACACAAGAGTGTTTATAATCTCTTCAACATTTAATACTAATGAAATGATCTAAAGGCTAACAAAGAATAGTAAAAAGCTGTGTTATCCTGTACAAATGAAATGGTCTAATTTATAATATGTATGGCATTTAATACAAATGCATACCAATTATGATGATGTTAGCCTGACTGGTGGGTTTGATGGCAGTTCTGTTACAAAAAGCTCTGGATCCACCTGATCCTCAAATTGTTGAAGATGCACTGGATTTACTTGTTCAGATGCGCGCATTAGTTAAGACACCTCCTAGGAGCCGATATGAACCTACATTTTATGGTCGGTTACTTGCTAGCTTTTCTTTATCTTTCGATGCGTCTGTTCTAGTCCTCAAGTTTGGAGACATTGGTATGATACGTGAGGGCATTTTGCTGGGCATATTGATGGATACACAACCTTTACCCATTATTCACCCGTTTGGAGAGGATGAATTGGTAATGTCTATGATTTGAATCAGATGTACTATTTCCAAATGTTCTGATTCTTTGGTAATGTTGTGAGGTTCAACTCATCTAATTAAATCGTTTTTATTTTCATTAGTTTGCAAAGTACATTGATTGCTATTATGGTGACCGGACAATCTTAGCCGGTCGAAAGGAGATGGAATTCATGGCTAACTTTTGTGCATTTCAGTTTTGGCAGCACATTTTCAAGGTAAAGAAGCTCTGTGGCTTTGCTGTTTGTAACTTTGTACTATAAAATACATTGCCATTATTCAGTATCTGCATTAGAGTGTCTTAGTGAAAGGTGGAAGACTATTATGAACGTGTGAAATTGTCCTTATTCGTTGAAATTATTTTATATATTACTCATCAACCAATATTCTTATGGTTGTGGGGAATAATCCACTAATTAGAGGGCTACTTCAACATGGGTTTCTGTGATACTTTCATGCGAGAAAAACCCAAAGAGACTAGGTACTAGAAGCTGCATCGTGCCAAGGAAAAATATTTTCCTTTTCAGTCTACTGTAGCATTCAGCTTCAGAGGTCTTATGAATTTATGGTGAAAATATTCTTTCATGTGCAGGATAAGCACCGGCTTGAACATTTAAAGAATGTTTTGAAGTCTGATAATGTATATCCCGACACACAGCTGATGCCTAAGCTTGAGGAAGATTGGTGTTCTTTCCATAATCTCTACCAATCATCTCTGCATCAGGTGTCAGAAATTTGTATGTATCGATATGACTTATCAGAATATGTACACTTTTAGATTTCTGTTTTCAATTGGAAGTGTATCACATTTTTGTAAATGCAATTTAATGCACTGTTTCTTAAAATTTTGATCTTCTAACAATCTTATTTTGAATCTTTACAGATAATGATATATTAAATACCATCCATCGGTTCCGGCCAAAATTTTTGAGCTCCTTTCGTGGCCCAATACCTGATTATGATCCTTATGAATTCAGACATATATGCCTGTTCCAAAATCAGCCAGATGGACATTCAGATGTAGTTTCTGTTGATGAGGAGGGCTTTGAACCATCAAGTGAAACAACGAAATGTGTTGCTGTACCATATGTTACTTTGAATCACTTGAACAGTTATGAAGTGGCAAAAATGTTTGATTTAATTGTAAAAGAGGTAGTATGCTTTTGAATCTTGCATGCAAGATATTCTTAGTGAATTTTCTTTCTTTCTAATAATTGGGGGGGTTTTCTTTTCTTGCATGAAATAGACAAGAGCTCAGTACCAAGATGATTCTTTTCACCATCAACCAGAAGATGCTAACAACGGTAATTTCCACATCAACGGGGAGGTTTCTCCTTGTGTTTACTTCATTCGTGGATCCTGCAGCAGAGGCAGTTCATGTTCATTTTTACACACATTTCAGGCTAAGAGACCACAGTGCAAGTTCTTCTTTTCCTTGCAGGTGACTTCATCATTAATGATGATACCATTATTAAGATTATGTATATTATTCCAAAATCCAAATTCTTCGTTTGAGTTTGACTACTTTATGATGCTACCATTATTAAGATCATGGTTACTAATCAATGTTCATTGTAATAGGGTTGCCGAAATGGAGAATCTTGTGTATTTTCACATGATTTGGACCGACCAGCAGTGTTGGCCAGTCAAAACATCTGCTTGCCAGAAGATAATACCATGAGTTCTGCTTCCCTTCTGAACTTGTTTCCCAAATCCAGTGACAAATCAATTCTGATACTGGATGACACAGATTTGCGTTTCTCCTCATGCCTTGCTTGCCACTATGATCCATCCAAAGTAATTTCAACTACAAGTGTGTCAGAAATAACCTTTACTGAACCATCTCTTACAGGAGTCAGAATTTTATGGGGTCTAAATCATCCTTACCAAACAATCATAGCCAAAGCAGGGAAGACTCTTATTCCTTGGAATGAAGTTCAATGTGTACTGTGGTCTCCTTGCTTCGATAGCTACGGTGAGGATTTGGATGGGAAAAAGAAGGTCGTGCAGAACTTTTTTGAATATCTAGCCATTCGAATTTTGGCTGATGATTTGAAGGAGATGAAAGTTATCATAACCATGAATAATATTAGATTTTCCCAACTTCAGGTGATTGCTTTTGCTCATGATCTCTTACCATTTAATGGTGTTATAAAATAATGTTATTCATCACTTCTGTGACCATGATAGTCACTTTTAATAAATTCCTTAATTGGTCTGTCTTGGCCTATATGTTCAGAAGCCAAAGCTTTTTGATAGATAGCATTGAAAACCAATACTGATAATCTGATATAAATGTTCTCAGAAATTAGATGTCAATGAATATGCGCATAAACCTTAACATAGCCATTCATCAAGATGGTAACACTAGTTATTGAACCTTTCAATCTACACATAGAGGAAAAGGAAAATTAAAGAGAGAAAATCTGGTGAAGAAAACTAACTATACAGCGGACATAACAAACTTTTGACAGCTAAGTTAACTGACCGACTGAAATTAGATGAATAGATTCAACTAACTAAATGCATGTTGTGGTTTCAGGTTGAGAAGTTGGGAAGAGACTGTTTCTTTATCCTGAAAGAGTCATTTGCTTTTGATGAAATAAGCTTTGGGATACTACATGACATGGTTAACAATAGGCGGCCAATGGTGGTGTCAAGGTCATTCTCATATGTTTTTAGCCTGCAACCTCCGACTGACAATCTTTTCAGCGACTATATTTCTACTTTGGAAAAGCTTCTCCATAAAATTAAAATAAAATAATAGGTAGATGTCTAGTTATAAATGTGTACAATTAATCTATGAAAGATGTCTAGTTATAAATGTGTACAATTAATCTATGAAATTCTACCGTAAGTTTTTATTAGTTTCTGTTTTGATGTACAAAGATCAAATGACAGAAAAATATGTGGCAAATCCTTCAAATTAGATGCAGTGGCGCATCATCAGTTCTTTATATCTGTTGAGGCAAATCCCAAATCAAAGAACACATTTGTTGCGCTCTCATCTCGTTTTCGTCCATGCTTGTTTGCCAACTTATGGGTGAATTGGTTTTTAGAAATAAACTTTTACTAATTTCGGAAACTTTCTTTAATTAAATTAATTGCATTATGTATTTATTTTACATGACTATTATTATAGTAGTATTATAATTTAGCAAATCTTTTTAACTTTATATAAAATATTCACATCAAATTAGTCATTAGAATTGATCTAGGGATGACGGATTTGGGGGGAATGGAATAGCTGCATTTCACGTTGCTACCTTTGGTAACTTTAGGCAATATGATAGATGAATGTGTAATTAAAATATATTATTTATTAAGAGAAAAGAATTGGTTTAGTGAGACGTAGAGAGAAAGTTATCATACCCACCCAAATCCAAAGTTAGCCAATCTTTTCAAGAACTTGGGACTTGAGTAGTATGCATGATGTGTTAGATTCAACTCTTATATCTTATTGACCCCATCGTACAAAAAATTACAACATAATAATAATTGTTTTAGATTGCAAAGTATACAATTTTATGAAAAAATAATAATTTTATATTTAAAATAAAAAAAATACAATAATTGTTCCTGTTAAAAGTTTATATTATAAATGTATCATTTTATTTATACCATCCTATTTAACTTAAAATAAAAAATCGACGATTATGAATTTTGGACTTTTTTTCTTTTGTAAAAACAGCTACTTTTAAAATAAAAAGAAAACAGTCATCAAATAACCGTATTAAAAAAACCAAACTAAAGAAAAAAAATCATTCCCAAATAGTGCATGCACTCTTTTTTTACACGCCAATATTTAGAAGCGTGAGCCATTACTTGATTTTTATGTTGTTTTGTTTTTATTTAATAGTTATTTTAACAAAAATAATTATAAATAAAAAATAAACTATAATATTATTCAATCAAATAAAATTATATAATTATTAAAAAAAATTAATGATTCACTTGATCGTAACGTCCATCGATTTTACATTCCTGCACATTTGCTTGCTTTCGAGGTCTCCTATGGTTTTTCTGAAGTGCTTGGGATCTCCTAGTATTATTTGAGCCAAATGTGGTTAGTGCGAGGTTTCTGGTATATTAGTGTTATCTAAAAATTCTTCAATCATATATGATTATACCAGATCAGAAAGGGATCAACAGTCTGCCACACGTCGTGAGCTTCTGTGTTTACCGTTGTTGAAGAGGAGGAGGGGTGTATCTGCAAGGTACTTTGATGCTAAAGTGAGTAACTGAGTTAGAGAGAGCAAGTACAAAAAATAGGTGTAGAGTTCAGACTACCTGACCCTCTAGCGAAAAAGGGTATTTATAGTGTGCCCCCAGCGTCGGGCCAACAATTACATTGCATTGGACTGGATTGTCAGGCCCAAGACAAGTAACTAACAGGGTCTACGTGGCGTAGGGAGACCGACACGTGGTCTTCACTCTGGTCCAACTGCCCCGTAATTCATGAAAAGTGGAAGACCGGTTCTTTAGGACATAGGTAGTTGTCTGATGACGGTCCCGGATGGGGAACACGTGGAGAACATGAGAAAGACGCGCGAGCTCTCCTCGTGCTAAGTAGTGGTTTGCCCGACCGCAGAGAGTACTAAGCGTGTCCGACGGGATAAATGATTGGGTCTTGCTGGGCCTTCCCAACGTAGCATTAGATTGGATCTACTCGACTGTGGAGCATGTCTTGGCCTAGTCCAGAACAGGAGCCCTCTAAGTCGTTGTTCTTAAGTGGAGGAGTAATGACTTAAGTGTCAGTTCCAATGCCGAGGATGCGGTCAAGTGTCGAGCTCCTCCATGTCGTGGACGCTCTCGGGGAGCCGCGCTCGCTTTCTGCGGCCATGAGTTGCTCTTCGTGTCCTCGACGAGGTACTGTGGGCCCGCCCGCGTGGGAGACGTCGGAGGGGACGGGCATGTACGTTTCCATGCAGGAGAGGAATCTGAACGGGTGTGTGAGGTGTCTGGTGACGCTATGTGTCAGGGCAATTAATGTCTAGGGTGGCTAGGAGTAAGGGCACTCAAGTGCCTAGGGACGCCTCGAGTCTCGTGCTAGGCTTATAAGTATGGGGTGAGTTCGTTTCATTCGCACGCTTCCCTTCCTTTGCTCAAGACTTTCCCTATTATCTTTTCATGCTTTCTCTCTTCGCTTCCGTTCGTCCGCCTTCGTCTCGTCGCTCGAAAACCACCATACCAAGTAAGTTTTTGGCTACTTTGCTTTAGTTTATTGCATTTCCCGATGGTTTCTTTGGTGGCATGATGAAGTTCCCGGGGAAACTATGAAGTTTCCGGCGAATATGTCAGAGCTTCTTTGAATTTATTACGCTTTTGATGAAGGCCCTGGGAATCGGCGATGAGTGCCCCGAAGACATGAGATGAATGTCTCGAGGACCTGACGAAGGGTCCGAGAATGTTAGATGAAGGTCTCGAAGACCTGGGATGAGGACCTCGATGACGTTAGATGAAGGCCCCGAGGACATGATGAAGGTCTCGATGACCTTTGCTGAAGGTCTCGGGGGTTCTTTCCCTGCATCTTGTTGACGTGGTGAGGGGATCCCCGTCCCGGAGGCTCCTCTAACCGGGAGGGAGGGTCTCGTAGTCGAAGAGAAACTTCTTCTAGATGAACAACCTAGTTGGGTGTTTCCGATTGGGGAGGCCTGTTCAGCGGCTCTGTGCCCCTCTTTTCGCCCTTTTACTTGATTTACGATGGAAGATGTCGAATTCATCATTTTCCTCTGCTTTTCAAGTAAACATGGCTGCAAGGATTGAGGGGGTCGTTGATATTGACGATGAGCGCAATTCCTCGGTCGCACAGACCAGTGAGGAGTGAAAGCGGACTTCCACAGATTAGGCCGGGCAGGAGCCCTTGAGCATTCCCTCTCGCTTCGCCGTGGACGAATCTGATGCTTACGCTACTACCGAGGACCGTTGTGAGGGCTCCTTTATGAACTAGCAGGTGTATAAACCCAGGGAACACCATCAAATATGCTCGTCTTTCAAAGGAGTGAGGTTTCCCATATATGAATTCACTTTTCGAGAAGCGGGCCTGCGTATGCCCTTCAGTGATTTCCAACGGGGAGTGTTCGATTGGCTTCGCCTGACACCTTCGCAGCTCCACCACAACGCGATCGTGTTCGTGCGAGCGTACAAGCTCGTATGTCATTACCTCAATGTCGGGACCATGCTAACTCTTTTCTTCCGCATCTTCCATCTTCAATGACAGACGTTCGAAGGTCGGCATAATTGGGTGTCTCTGAAGCAGCCGGGGAGATTTTTTCGGGTGTATATAGACTTTATCTGTACCTTCAAAGATTGGTACTTAGTTGTTAAGTCCATCACCCACGTGGCTGTAGACTCGCTGTATAACCTCGTGGTCAGGGAAGAAAATGGGAGTGAGAAGAGGTCTTAGAGTCGAAGTTTCCTTTGGAATAGATGGAGGAGCATTTCAAAAGGGGCACAGATAGCAACATAGTCAGGCCCGACTCGTTGGATACCGAGGACCGACTGGCCTACCAGAAGCTGATCGAATTTGTCTTCGGCTTCACCCCCGCGAAATGTGTGAATTCATATGGGAATTTTATCCTCGACGCCCGCGGGGAGGTTCTTCGGGAGCCGTGGTTGATAAACACAAAGGCCCTCCTCGAGTGTGCATCCGAAGAGGAAGCCTTACAGTGCTTAGGCAGCAGGCACCCCCTTCGCTCGGGTTCCTTCTATGTTTCTGTCGTTGGTTTGTTGTTTGCTGACTTGTTTGCTTTTTTCTTTTGTAGGTGAGATGTCGAGCTTGCAGGAACGCATGAAGAAGCTGGCGGCCACCAAGGGTGGGAAAAAGGTTGGCAATGGGTGAGTCTTCTAAGTACAACAGATGCTTGTCCTCAATCATACATTCGGAGGATCGTCCTCTTCTCCTAAGGCAGCCAATCTCCAACCTCGTAGAGGATGCCTAAAAGACAGTGGGTCAGCGAGCCTGAGACCATCGACCTCATAGGGAGTATTTCTGAGGAGAACTTCGTGCTCCCACCCTGTTATTTACAGTCTGATTTCTTCTACGGGGCCAATTTCCCGATTGTGAGTGTTGTTGAGTCCAAGACCATCATGGGCATTAACCAGAAGGCGAGAAGGAAAGCCTTATCGGAGGATATAGTCGCGGTGATGCAGGTTTTTGAAATGGCTTTGGTCCTCAACGAAGAGACCTGCGCCTCGGTTGACCTGACCAAGTTGTAGAATGACCTCATGACCGTTGAGGCTAAGAGAAACAAATTGGCGACTGACCTCGACGAGTGCAACGAAAGGAATGTCGTTCAACTCAAGCTCTACTGCAAGGTGGAGAAGCAGGTGAAAGCCACCGACAAGGAGAGGACAAAGCTCTTGGCAAGGATCGCCGAGTTGAAAGCAGCTGCAAGGCCTACTGAGGATGAGTCTGCCGAAGAGAATCTCATGGCATCTCAAGCTGACCTGGTGTCGAAGATCTGGGAGCTCGAGCAGGATTTTTTGGGGGCTCTCGAGGTGGGTTTTAATTGTGTTGTGGAGCAACTCTAGATCGTGAACCCTGACGTCCAGCTCTTCACCAAAGGGACATACCCTTATCACCGGGTGGTCCAGGGTCATGTGGTTGTGCCTAAAGCCGAAGACGAAGATGACGGTCAAGCCGTGGTGGGTGACCAACCTGAGGAGAATGTAGTTTCCTAGCTCTGTTTTCTTGTATTTCTTTTTTTTGGCCTGCGGGTCATATTTTGATGCAATTGTCTTTGGCCTGCGTACCATATTTTG